TCCTGTTGCTCAATTTTCCTTTCAAGAGGGTTGTATTGTGAAGTCCCTAAATGTTGGGGACCCTTCCTTTTAATTCACTAGGTCAATTAAGTAATGGTAAGCCATTAGTTAACTCTACAACTATAGACTCCTAATAGCTTCCAGGTCCTCGAGGGATCTTGTTTTGAGGCTACCCTCCTTTGGGACTCATCAAACATATCGTTCTTACCAATTATGACACCTTAGCCTTTGTTTCTTCATCCCCATGATATACGAGTTGACCTGCCAATGTTAACCCTAGTATGTTTAGCACACCATCACTACCACGGGAAAGTATATCATTTCGTAGAGGTGCCATGGCCTGCGGTCACTAGGATTCCTTCCACGGTGGTTATGAACTCCAAGGGTGCATCTTTGTTGTCGCATTAGCTTTTCCGTGTGTCCATGGTCCTGTCTCTTGTCACATGGTAATTGGGATGCGTGTCTTTGTTATATTGGTGGCTTACAAAAAATAAATTAAAAGTGTTGTAACGTGATCTTTTTATTAGTTTCTATTGCTCATGACATCAAAACCACCCCCATTAACATTAAGGGAATGAGCAACGGAAAGGAATAGAAATATCACATTGTAACACTTTTAATATATTGAATATACGATGTGAAAGATGTAATATTTGATGGTACATAGTGAGAATCCTTAAATGTATTGAGGTGTATAGTACAATTCATCATATTTTATTTTGGACTCAAAAAAAATAATAATTAAATTAAATTCATAAGAATCTGAATGAGTTTATATTAATATACTAATGACATATATAAAAAGAAAGCATTCAATCATCTAATTTAGACAATTTGTTATTGATGAGCCCAAAACCAATTAGACCAGACTCAATAAATCAATCAGGTTCGAGTCAGCTAAAAGGTAGCTCAAGCCAATTTTATTAATCCGACTCAGTCCAAAATCCAAAAAACCCCGAGAAGATAAAAGCACGTGGGAGAGAGATTATTGGAATATGCACTCATTAAGACCAGTCCTATCGTAATTGTACTTACCAAAGAAGTAGTGCCCTCTTATCACGTCACCGCTTCACTAAACCTATATATTGTAAGCTCTCTTTAGGTGAAGGGACATCTATCTCTTCCAACACACATCTTTACATGTTGAGCTTTGCCTCTTTACACCTCCCCACACACATAACTTCTATCTCCTAACTAGTTTAACTCTTCCGAAGCATATTCTCTCAGAGCTTTCTTCTGATTACGTTATTTATCAATAAAGACCTCCGGCCACCATTGCAGTTTTTCGAGAGTGAGTAGGTCACTTAATCGAACCATTATATTTCTGTGTGTTAATTTCATATTTACTATTTCGTCATTGATTGTTTTATTTACTATCAATTAATTACATCTCTTCACATACTCGACTGTTGATATTATACGAGACAATTTTATGTATCATCAGTTATTTTACATTTTATTCCTATTTTTTTGCCTGATTAATTAATTTGTTATTTTACATATTTTTCTTATTTTTTCACATTTTATAATCGATTATAAAATATCGTAATCGATCGTGAATTTCTTTTAAGTAATTGCAACTTCTACTTTATAAATTGAAACTTTACATTTTTTAAAGTAAAACAAGATACATATTTCATTAACCAAACAAAAAAAAACATCTTGACTAGGTAAAAACAAAAGAAAAGAAGGAATCTCTTCTTAATCTTTTAGAGTTATAATTTCTATGATTAATCTCAATATTTTAGTAATATTATGTTATTTATAAATTATAATTGACATTTTAAAAAAATATAATTTATTATTAAAAAAATTAGAATTTTTAGTACGACATCAAATAGGGTAATATATTCTTTTCCTAAAAAAAATCATGCAATGTAATGCTCGTCCGTAGCCGTACGATTAATGTGTTGGCAAAAAGCATCATTATCAAAAAGACTTGTGTCCATGAGATATGATCAGTGGATGTGGTGGCCCACAGGGTTTTGGTGTAGCAATGTTTCAACGGGTACAGGAGTCATCTAAAGTTGGCCAATAGTCTCCACCTGCTGTACTCATTTCACTTCTTACCACAAATCCTTTGGCTTTTGTCTTGATTCACCAACCAAAAAAACAAAAAATTCATTAATTATATTCTCTTCTTTCCTTGGGCCCACATAGAAAATAACAATTAAAAAATATCCCTCCACAAATTACAACTTTTAAATGTCCAGATGTAATGGATTAAGATTATTTATAATATTATAGTAAATAATAAAATATTATAATTTAATGAGCCCAAATTCAGATTACGTTTGGACCTAATTTATGGGTTAAGTCCAAATTATCAAAAAAAAGGTCAGACTAAACTCGTGGCATCAGTTGAATTTAAAATTCAAGAATTCAGGAAGAGTCAACCTACGTAAGAAAACAATCACCGAAATAGTCATTACTCTAAGATAGTGTCTATTATTAATTATAATTATTCTTTTCGCTAGGTTGACCTTCACGTCACTGTCTCAACTAGCATTTTGTGTGTATAAATTATAAACTCTTTTACACATGGAATAGAGAGCACACACACCTCTTCTTGAGCGTACTTTTGTTTTCTCTCTCTTTCCTATTATCTTATATTATCTCATTAATAGAGTTTTTCGGTCATCATTACTGTCTTCAGTGGTTAAGTCACCTAAACTCAACTACACAATATTTGTCTCTTATTATTAATTGTTTCATTAATTATTTTACAATACACACTCAATTAATTTGATTGTGCATAATCAACTTTTTGCATCATTAAAATTAATCACAAATAATTATAATTTGTCTTTTTGAAAGTGCAACTTGACCAATGACAATAATATTTTCCTCTATTATAGTCATTTACATAATCTTTGTTATGCAAATTAAGGATCCCTTTAATTATGTATCATTTAAATTCATGCATGAATCGTAAATATTAGATTTATATAACCCTTAGTAAATAATGCAAATCAATCAAATTTAGCATTGACAATAGATAAATATCGTGTTGGATTCATGTTGTGTCAAAATTTGGTTAACACATACTTGAGCAATTTTGAGATTGTGTCGGGTCAAATTACTGCCATGTATAAGTATTTTTTAGCGGATTCGTGTCTAAATTAGATTTGTGACAACCTATTTTTTTAACGTGTCTACTCGTTTACCACTTAAATATACGAATTCTAAAATCAAAATATATTGAAGATAATCAAATATATTAATTGATTGTCTAAACTCATATTGACAGGATTAATGATAATAGATAGATATACAAATAAGAGGGAAGTGAAAAATATATACTTTGAAGTGAAAAATATATAACTAAGAGGACAAAAAAGAAATTAGAATTTATATTAAATGGTGATTGGGAAAGGAAAAAAATCAGGGTAGTTGAGGCAGGGAGAAACAAATGCTATATTATAGATATTTAGCATGATGGGTACTCCGAGAAAGCAACTTGTTTTCTCTCCATGTAATAAATAATGAAGGTTTCCATAGTTAATAGGAAAATAATTATATTGAATATTAAATTGGTGAAATAAAAATAAAATAATTATTCTTATTGACCCTTGAAAGCTGATAAAAGAGAGGGGATTGTGGAAAAAGAAATGGTGATTGGTAGGGCTCTTAGTCTATTCGAGTTATTTGGGTTCAGTTTAGATAAAATTTGGCTTGAATTCGACTCGTGTTCTAAATAAACCAAGTCTAAACAATTTTTTTAAATCGTTTGAAAAAATAAACTCGACAAACTCATACTCATACTCATACTCGTAAAATTCAACTCAATTAATAACCCTAGTTATTGGAGGTCTTAATATATACATGGGTGTAACTATTGGACAAAGTGAGGGGAGAAGAGATAAAAATGTTGGGGAATTTAATTATTGTTTTCTTTATCAAGTGAATATTTTAAATATTTTTAGATGGACACTATAACTAAATTGAGCCTATCTAATAAAAGTTCAAGAATAAATAAAAATTATCTTGACATTTTTATAGCATATATTTTGTCAAATCAATTAAGGTTGATACTGTGAAGGTAAATGAAAGAAAGGATTGTGTTAACTAATATGAATTAATTTTGTATAAGTGGATATAACACAAAATTAAACATAAAATAAAAATAATAATCATTATAATTCAGTCCTTGGTAAGATTTAATAAGAGTGGGATAATAAATTACTAATTTAATTAAGCATATTTTTGTTTTTTTGGTGGACAAAATAGTAAAATATAATTTAATACAATTTTATTGTATTATTATACCACCTTTTTAGGTGGTACTAAAATTGACTTAATAATATAGGCATATTATTCGTTAAAATACATGTATGAAATATTATTATATACTAGTTATTGTCTATATATGAAGGTATAGAGTAATAAAAAATGGTAAACAATAAACATATTTGTATTTATGTATAAAATCAAATTACAAAAATAGAAAATATATAAAAAAATTTAATCTTCAATTTGTAGTGGTAATGACCGTGGTAGTGGTGGCGACGACGGTGGTGGTGGTGATAGCGATGGCGGCAACGGTGGTGGTTATGGTGGTGGCGGCAATAGGGGTGGTGACGATGGCGGTGGCGGTGGTGGTGATGGTGGTGGTTAATATTAGCCATTAAATTAACTTTAGAATAAAATTTAAAACGATTAGATAACATAATATTTTTATCAACTAAATGTAATATAAATTTTAATTTATTATAATTCTTTAATACTGTAAACATATGACCCAGTAGAACAAAATAACAAATGTGAAAATTTTAGGGAAAATAAATGGACATTAGTAAATAGTATTAAATATAAATACCAAATAATAATTCAATTGGCTAGATTTCGTAGGGATACGTTCAGTGAATAATTCCCTGTTTGGGAATCTGACTTTTTCATTTCGAGCCACTCCCATGACTTCCACGCATATAAATATATAAAAACGCCTATGTGTATTTACACACACTCTTCCTCTCCCCCTCCCCCTCCCCTCCCCCTCCCCTCCCCTCCCCTCTATCAGGATGCTTCCTCCTACCCACTTTACTGAACCAGATTCAACCCACCACCATTAACCAGTTAACAACGAAATGGGCAAAGCCTCAAAGTGGTTCCTCGGCCTTCTCGGCCTCAAAAAGCCGGACTCACCCTCTTCTTCACACACCCACCAGCCTCTCGCACGCGCTCAAACCCAAAACCGCCGAAGAAGAAGTGGAGCTTCGTCAAATCCTACCGAGAAAATGACCACCACCACCCTCTCCACAACCAAAGAGCCCAAAATGTTCTTGCATCGGTGCAGCCTCATTCTTTGCCTGACGACGGCGGTGCAGATCCCGGAAAACACGCGATTGCGGTGGCCGCAGCCACTGCTGCGGTTGCGGAGGCAGCCGTCGCGGCAGCTCAGGCGGCCGCTGCGGTGGTAAAGCTAACGAGTAGTGGGAGGTCTACTGCTACGACGATGGGGAGTGGTGTTGGTAACACAACGGCGTACGTTAGTGGAAGAGGCTCGAGTCTAGGGATTCGTGAAGTGCGGGCGGCCGTTAAGATACAGTCGCATTTTCGAGCCTATCTGGTTGGTAGTCTTATTCCGATTTTATTCTTTCTTTCTCTCTCTTAAGGCCTTTTTGACATAATTATCCCTGGTTTTCCGTCAAATTTTTGAATAACATGTTCTGTGCTACCCACTCCGATTTGGGGTAGTTCAGACATTTCGGTCACACCGGCGGCCACTGCCGGAAATGGTTTACCGAAGCCAAGATTTGCGGACTCAATAACTTATCCTGTAATTACGACTTCGTTGGTGGGTTGATCATACTTGGCACTACTGTCTCTTTGCGGTTCGTCTAATTTAGTTTGCCGGAACTGTGCCGGAAAAAGGTTCTTTAGCTGGTATCGTTTTCTTTTGGCCTTCACTAGAAGACAAACGTATAGGATGTGCTTCGCTCTGCATTGTTCTGTACTTTAGCATTTGTACTGTAACACCCAGAAACATTAACAGCTAATAGCATCAATCAGCACTAGTTTTTACCGTTAATTCTGTGCTAAAACACACCCGTGGTAACGAGAAGAATCCCTTATTAATTGTGGTGGGGTAGTGGAATAGTTTGAAATATTGTGGTCCTCTAAATCTACCCTTGTCCTTGCACATTATGGTTGGGATGGAGTTGTCATTAACTTCTAGGAAAAAGCCAGAAACCTAGAACTTTTTGTGATGTAGTTCATAGTTAATTGGCTTTTTTACCTTTTTAACCTGTTGGGTAATTTTGGGTCTTTGTTCTTGATCTAAATTTTTTGGTTATTTAATGTGGGTGGTGCTGTTGGTGATGTGAATATTGCACAGATGAGGGTATGGGTCCTTTTTTGTTGTTTTCTAAACTGAGCTTCTGTATATCTTACGTACTTTTGTATAAGGATAGATTCTTTAAATTTTGTACTCATTCTACCCCTGGATCCAGTTCAAATGCCATGTGATTGTTCCCACATGAATCTTAAAATGTGTGATTTTCATTTAAGTGTTTATTTACAAACCTTGCTACCAAGAGGGGAAAGTTAAAGGTGAAGTAATTGAGAAGAATGTGCTATTTTCATAACAGCAGGTGAGTGCTAATTGTATTGCTTGCAAGAGTTGTGAAAGGTCTCTATTCAATTAAAGGATTAGTTTAGGGTCTTCTAACTTCAACATAACTTACCCAGAAAAAGAAAAAGAAAAAAAAACATTAGATGCATGTTTAAATACAAGTTGAGAGGCAGCTCTCTTGGACATAGTTTTTAGCTTCTTTAACTCTGTAGTGGGAGTTCAGAGCGACAAGTAGAGTGCCATTCTACTTTGCGGTGCTACTCTCTGCGAAGTTTCTTTTATGACATTGGGATAAATAGAAAATCCTAGCATGGAGTGAACTTGATAACATCTTAATGCGCTTCAAAAACTGAAAGGAAATAGAATAAACTATTAGTAACTGCAATTCCTCAATAAATGTAGATTGACACGAACCCTTGCCCATACATCAGGTTGATGATAGTTGTGTTAGAAACGACACAATACATTATTGTTGCTTTTGGTTTTTAATGGTAAATGTGTGATGCATAGTTATGTGTCTGAGGTGTTATTCAATTGCTACTCCGGTTTGTGATTCTCGACTGAGTAATTGTAGCAAAACTATAGTGGATGTCCATGTCACCAAAATTTGGTGGGAGCATGTATCAAGTTGTTCATTTTTGGGTATTCCCGCGTCATTTTGTGTAAAAGATCGTATGAGTTGGGTAGTAGTATGCTTTATCACCGGAGATTCTGAGGCAGAGGCTGGTGGGTAACTTTTCTTTTCTTTATAGGACGGCTGTTGAGATGTCATATTCTTCTTAAATGTCAGAATTCCACTTTGGAAAAACTTTAATGTGAGAAATCAAGTCTTCAAGGCGCCTTGACTTTTGTAGATTTTCACGTTTGTCTGTGCAAGACCCATGGCGCCATATAATTTAAGGTAGATTGTGTTCCAGTACGCTGCTGGTGCACCGTTGCTTGCTAGTCATGAGAGCGTCATGGCTGCTTGAACCAAAAGGTTGATTGCTTGGGCGTTATTAGTTTTGTTGGTCTTACTTTTCTCACCCCAACAAAACTTTGTCTCCAGTCTCATATATTTTTGGAAGTGATCTAAAATTTATTAACAATGTTTTTGGTTGGCCGCTATATTTGAAGGCAAGAAGGGCATTGCGGGCGCTGAAAGCTCTTGTGAAACTTCAGGCACTTGTAAGAGGTCACATTGTGAGGAAGCAGACTGCAAGTATGATACGACGCATGCATGCATTGTTGCGAGCACAAGCACGAGCTCGTGCAGTGCGGTCCCATACTTCAGAATCTCCACACTCAAGTACCAAGTCAACTCAGTTCCAGCATCCTGTAAGCAAATTTTTATTTTCCCTCCAAATGTTTAAATTTGAATTATTTTTTTTGGGTAAGTATTTAAATTTGAATTTTATTGATACCTTCTTTGGCAGAATTTCTCCATATAAATTTGAATACTTTGGACACACTGTTCGACATCGTGTACCTTTTGTCCTAAAGTAAAACGTAAAATACACACTTCTTGTAAAAAGTTATGTATCAGTCACTTTGGGCCTTTCTGACAAAGTAGTTTAAAGATATCATGTTATTTGACATTTGAAGATATCAACTTTTACAATGTAAAGTAAAATGTAAAATGCACATTTAATTGTGTGAAGTTACATTTATTTATTTATTTATTTTTAGATTGTTTCCACCTTGCGATAGCTCTTTTCTGCTTCATGGTATTGGAATATTATCGCTTGAAGTTGAAACATAATTTGAATTCTGGGTCCAAGTTAATGATTCAGTCTTCTTTGAAGTTGCTTCTTCCCACATTGGAAGACTCATGTAACAGAGATAATAATCAGTTGATTTTTCCACCAGAATGTACAAATTGTTGTTCTACAAATTTTGTCAAAATTACTGATGTGTTCTTAAGAACAGACCTGCCTCAAACTCCTCAGTTTTGAAAATTAATTATCTCTTTGGTGGACAGGGCCCTGCAACTCCTGAAAAGTTTGAACATGCCATACGATCTAAGAGTATCAAATACGATCAATCCTTGATGCTCAAGGTGTGTGCTGTAATTTGTCTAGTATAAGAATATATTGATCAATGTATGATTTTATGTTTGAGCAATGCTTAAGAGTGTCGACTCGTCATTTGCAGAGAAATGGCTCAAAATCGAATGGCAGGGTTGGCATCAATCAAGACAAGGCACACATGGGATGGAATTGGCCAGACCGCAGAAGGAGTGAAGGTTCATGTGAACAAAGAGGATTGTTCTCAAGAACTGGCAGCATCAGGGTAGATGATGAAAAGGGTGACAAGATTGTAGAAATTGATACTGGGAAACCCCACTTCTTGCCGAAAGGAAGAAATGTATGTCAGTCTTCTTGTCATTATAGCTTGGGTTCAGACCAAAATAGTCGTAGCTTTACGACATCGATAGAGTCAACTGCCCATCAAACAGCTCTGAGTCCATCTTCTTGTGAAGTTCAATCCTTGAGTCCTCTAAAGTTTACTCAAGATGTAGAAGAAAGCTTGTTCTGCACTGCTGACAATAGCCCACAATTCTACTCAGCTTCATCAAAGGGGGGTGGTGGTGGTGGTTCTAAGAGAGGAGGACCATTCACTCCCACCCAGAGTGAGGGGTCAAGAAGCTGCCTGAATGGTTACTCGGACCACCCAAACTACATGGCCACTACTGAATCATCAAAGGCTAAGATAAGGTCTCTCAGTGCTCCAAAACAGAGGCCACATCAATTCGAAAGATGTAGCTCAACAAAGAGGTATTCAGTTCATGGGTATAGTAATGACTCAAAAAGATCTAACAGCACGCAAAGGGTTTCTTCTGCGTTGAATGCTGGCTTCACCAACAAGGCTTATCCGGGGTCTGGTCGCTTGGACAGGCTTGGAATGCCGGTGCAAGGCGGATGCAGCTGGGTTTAGTGGATTCTGTTAATCAGACTTAAATTAGGGTTCTGGGTGTTTTGTTAATCAACTAATATTCCTAACAAAAAAATGGATCTATTTACAGTGTCTGATATCCAAGATATATTTATTATTATATCGTTTTATTCATCTTTCTCTCTCTCTCTCTGAATAAAATAATTAGTGGAGTTAAGGGTAAATTATAAAGAATAAATGATATTTTTTTATTGGAGAAAGTATTTTATTTTAAAATTAATGAGAGTACTAAGAAATAAAGACTGACGACCTAGAGTGGGTGGATAAGACATGAGGAGACCTAACCAAAGCCATTGAAATGTGATGGTTATCATGTAGTTGGAGAGAATCTGTGGATTTAGTGAGAGTACGTGGAAGTATTTACTACGTGATTTTGAAATGTGCAGTAGTGAGGTTTTTTAATTTGGTTTTAATAATTAATTAAATATGATAAAAAATAATAAATTTAAAAAATAGAGAGTAGTTTTCTCAAGCAAAGGCGAAGCAACGTTTGATTTACGACGATGCTCCCCCTTTGACTTTTTGAATAATATACATTGCATATCTACATATTATAATATTATTATATTTATAAAATAAAACCTTATTTTTCTTAATTTTTAACATATGTATAATGGATAGATCTTTTACATGCTAAAAAGAGACTTAAAAAAGATAATGTATCGGCTCTGTTATATAGATATAGATAAATAAAACTATATATGTGTATTTATATAATAAAGTAGAACGAAATTTGAATCTAAAAGATAAAGAGAAATTCAGATCGTTTTGAGACAAAATATAAACACATCCAACGGACAACGTAATTCCAACATAAAAGACGATTCAGATTATCTCAAAAATTTCGATCTAACAGTCTATAGTTAGTCCTGAATTTCTTTTCCCGCCCATGAAGAAGCCTCTTATCGTAATACTCTACATTTCTATCTCTCATACGTCTCTATCTTAAATTTGAAAAAGTACAATAACAACTCAAATTAAATTCATTTTAAATTAAATAATCTAAATTTCATCAAACTTAATCTAATGACTCACAACATATCCCACACAAAAATAAAATCTGACCAAGAACGGAGCCAGAAAAATATTTTAGGGTGGGCACATTAATAAATTTTAATTATTTTTTTTATCAATATTATCAATGACTTAATTCAATGTAACTGTTATTTTAATTGTAAATTTCAATGTTAGATGAAATCTACTTTTTCATCAAAGGGGTGCATTGAATTATGTCATCAAGTTAAATTTAAATAACATTTTTTATTTTTTTTTTCAATTGATCATAGAAGTTCATAAATTCATATTTACTATAATTATGCGTAAAAATTAATTAAACATAAAAGGTTAAAAAAAGATTTGTATGGAATGAACAAACAAAAAATAAAAGTAAATTAATTAAAACTTCATATGAGACTAATTATTATCATTTACAATTAAATCTCATTATTGTTTATCATTTAAAAGAATTATAAATCAATGATATCAATAAATATTTTTTTTTCTATATACAAAATGGTAATAATAGTCTTTCATTTATTACCTTACCACGCTCATTTCTATACAATAATAAAATAATCCTATAATTTAGAAAATGAACGCGATATGTCTAAAAATTATTTGGACGTGTCTGTGTCTAAAAATTTAAGAATAATAGTAATTACATCTAATTCGAAATTTAATTTTATATCTTGACCAAAAACAAAATTCAAAATTTAATTGGTAGAAACCTAATGGTTTGTGATCATTGGATTGATAGTAGACGTTATTAAATGTAATGACTCACTATTAGATTTAATATCATAATGTATTAGTTCCAATAACATTATTTAAAAATTAATTATTATTTAAGTAGTCGTCTATCTTAATCGATATCACAATAATACAATAATAAGGTGAACACAATTAAATATGTCTAAATTTTATTTTAAAAAATATATATTTATTGTAAAAAAAATTGAGGGTGGGCACAATTAAATATATCTAAATTTTATTTTAAAAAATATATATCTAATGTAAAAAAAAAAATTGAGGGGGGACACATGCCCACCCTGATCCAAGGGTGGCTCCGCCCTTAAATCCCACTCAATTTAATTACATCCACATGCTACCCATTTTATCTACCACACAACTCAAACTCTTTCTCTTTCCCTCATTAACCGTTTCAACTCTATTAGTTTCTCAAAAATCATTGTCATCCTCCTCAGTCTCTCATCTCTTTGTGCAGACTCCAACAATTGACAGATTTTCTTCAGCGACACACGACATAATTTGGAGACCCATTGGGCTTACTCACTCCGACCATCTACTCTCTTCCATCCAAATTGTATTGACAGTGATCTAATCTTCGAAAATACTCTCACTGGTACCCATTATTGTTTATCGGTGATGATTTTTTTTGTTTGGTTTAGTGGTGTATGTGTTGACAATAGTTTATTGTTTTTAATTTTTAATGTTTATGTGGCTTAGTTGTGGATGTATTGTCATTAAATGATTGTTGTTAAATATTATATATTAAAAGTGCATTGTTTGTACCTTAATTTAGGTTAGTTTTGTTTAATTTCTAATTTTACCATAAAAATTTACATAAAATTAAAAATATTTCTATTAAACACATATAAAATACATAATATCTCTAAGTTTAGTATTTTTTTTTCAAAGTTTGACAATTTAACATTTGACCTCAATAACCGCATACACCGTAAGTACAACACAAAAATCAATACCCAAATAGATAATATCACCATTTTTAAACATGTAAGTTATTTAGTATATCAATTTTTTCAAAACTTTTGGTATAATATTTCATTAAAAATCATTATATACTTGCTATATAATTTTTTATCCTTCTTATTACAAATTGATTCATACCTAGAATACACTGTAAGTAGATTTTCTTATCACGCATCTTAATACCGATAGTTGATATTTATTTTTTATTTCTTATCAATCAATAAAGTTTAAATTGTCTTTATAATTCATAAATAAAATTATCACGTGATTATTCATACCAAAAATAAATCACTACTTTATAAAAATTTATAGTTCTCAGAAAATTAAAAAAAAAAGTGACTAATACAAAAAAAATAAGATACCAATTGCACCAATAAAAAATATTCAAAACTAATCTAATCACTATGTATTAAAAAAAAATTTATAAATAACATATTGTCTTTATACACGGACAACGATTAGTATATAAATAAATTGAGTTAATTTAAGTTAGCAAAGGGATAAGGATGAGATGAGCAAGCGGGCAAAAAGACCATTACACCCTTGGGTCGTCTAGATAACTCTTGAAGATCTATCAACAAGCAACTAATAATAAAGAAACAAGGAATACTGGTGGCAGCTGTCAGTGGGGTTAAGAATGTGATTGGGGATGGCCACGTGGACCTCGAACAGCGCAGTGGAGAAAACAATGTGGGCGCCGTTGGAAAAAAACCCCATCTCCTCCAGTCTCTAGTATTTGGAACTCAAGTACAGATAGATGCTCTCATCTACCCCAGAGCGTCACCCTCCCCAGTCCGTATCTTCATAAATACATACCTAGTTGTTTGTCCACAAGCAAAGCGATTGCGAGAATTGAGTAGAGCAGAGCAGAGCAAAGCAAGCGTTACTTTGGAGAGCACAAGAGAAAGAATCGAAAGAGAGTGAGAGCGATGATATTAGTGGCCATAGTGGCGGAGCTGATGGAGGAGTACACGGTGCTGCTGGCAAGGGTGCTGCACCATATGTTTCACCAGGCACCTCTGCCATTCCCCAGGCGGGTTCGTTTCCTCATCCTCCGCAATCTTCCCTTCGCTTCCCCCCTTCCTCCTCCTCCCACTCCCACTCCCACCCACCTTCTTAGATAGAATAG